ATTGGGGCCGGCGGGCCGTGTCCCGCAAGGCCATCACACAGCTCAAAAAGCGCTGCTGCTATGTGTCTCTGGACTTCGAGGGCGACCTCCGTGACCCTTCCCGCCACCATCCGGCCAGTTTCTGCATGGGCAACGGATGCTCCGTCCGCCTGAGCAGCGAGCGCTTCCGCTGCCCTGAACCCATCTTCCAGCCGGGTCTGCTAGGCCAGGCGGAGCCAGGATTGCCCACACTGGCCTTCCGAGCACTGCAGAAGATGCCTGCAACACTGCGGACGCGGCTGGCCAACAGCGTGGTGCTGGCAGGGGGCTCCACACTTTTCCCTGGCTTCGCAGAGCGCCTGGACCTGGAGCTAGAGGCGCAATGCCGGCGGCATGGCTACCCAGCCCTACGACCCCGCCTGGTGGCCCAGCCCGGGCGTGGCATGGCTGTGTGGACCGGCGGCTCCATGGTGGCCTCCTTGCATTCCTTTCAGTGCCGCTGGATGACCCGGGCTATGTACCAGGAGTGTGGCTCCAGACTAGTGCATGAAGTGTTCAACTGAGTCACACTGGACTGGAGGGGGTGGCAAAAGCCAGGGCTGCAGAGGCTGCCGGCTGCACTGCAGCTCTATCAGAGGATCCGAGTCCCACATAAAGCCTCCAGTTTGGTGCTGCCAGGTTCTGGTGTGGTGATGGGCCACCCCCTATCCTTTCTTGGGCACAGAGGTGGTGGTCAGGGTCTCTGAAACACTGTTTGAATCCCCCCCCAACCACTGTCAGTGCAGAGCCCACTCCCAGGGCCCTGTTTCCATGGCAACAAGGAAGGCTCCCCTCAGGGCTACACATAAGGAAGTCCCCACAACAGCCAGCCCCTCTTCATGTGCCATTTGAACAGCTATGCCACACCAGGCAACCCTCTGGAGAGCTTTAGAGAGCCACCACGTCTCGTGAGAGCAACCAGGAGAAACACTAGCTGCGCCTCAGGTAAGAGTTGACTTTGAGGGCCTCAGTTTCCTTTTCTAGAAAAAGTGGGGTCAGGCATAGTCCCAGGCTGCTCACTGTACCTTTCCACTCTACCACCCCCTTATAAGAGCTCTGGGGCAAAGAGAGGAGGAATCTACTTTTTTTTTTTTTTTTTTTTTGTAGAAAGTTGTATTTATCTTTTTTTTTTTTTTTTTTTTTTGAGAGAGAGATTTTTGCTATAGGGTGCTCACTGGAGAGACAGAGAGAAATCACCCCCTCCTGGGAGGATGGCCATGCTGCAGTCCCTTCTCTATTCTCCTCGGGATTTTGGGCATGCACCCACACATGCACATGAGCCTGGCATGAGTTTCAAGCTGCCAGGTTCAGGACTCAAACCATGGTCAGCCATGTGGGAGTCCAGCACCAAAACCACTAGGCCACCTGCTGGGCCCAGCAAATGATTTTTTTGCAGTCCCTATCCAGGACCCTAGAACACTGGCTGTCAGTACACATGTGTCCACGCATGGGTGCACATGTACCTGCCTTCTCATGGATGTCCTGAAGCCAGGCCCTGCCTCATAAGCGCCATGCACCAGTATGGGCCTATGGACATATGTGAGTACAGGCCCTTCATGCCCAAGTCATCCCTGCTGGGCCCTGGGCTTGATACCCCACCAGTTATGTCTGGTCAGTAACAAAAACAGCAGCAGCAGCTCCAGGTGTGAAGCACTCACTGTATGCCAGGCATTGTTCTGGGTGCTGGGAGCACAGCAGAGAACAAAACAGACAAAATGTCCTACCTCCATTCCCAGTTAATTGTCACAACAAATGCATGCAGGCAAACTCTCTGATTGTCCCTCACTTACAGATGAGGAAGTTGAGGCCCGGAGAGGGAAAGGGGCACAAACGGCAAGTGGGACAGCTAGAGTCTGAACCAGACTCTTTTTTGTTTTTTTAGAGGTTTTTGTTATAGGGCACGTGCACTCGCCAGACAGACAGAGACAGAGAGACAGAAAGCGAGAAATCATCCTCCAGGGGGGATGGCCACACCGCAATCCCTTCTCCTCCATTCTCCTCTTGGGATCTTGGGCACGCACGCACACACGCCCAGAATAAGTTTTAAGCCACCGGGGCTGGGACTCGAACTGCGGTCGACTACATGGGAGTCCAGCGACATAGCCATTACACTAATTGCTGGTCCCAAATGCAAAACTCTTTGAGGTAACACCACATAGAAAGGTTCTTGGTTCAAACCAGAGACCTCCCTGAGTGTGCCTGGCACATGCACGTGCTCGTGATCCAGGGTGGGCTTGAACCCAGACTCTTGCTCCACAGCTGAGTCACAACTTTGGTAGATCCCTCAGCAGAGCCACTGCCCCAGTCTCATGTTGCCCCTCCACAATCAGCCCCTCCACTCACCAGCTTGGTGGCATCCATGGCAGTGAGCACTGCGCGATTCAGCGACTCCAGCGCAGCCAGCACAGGCCGGAAGACACCCAGGTGTTCTGAGAAGTAGTCTGTGGGCAGAGGGGGTGCTCAAGGGTTCCCGGACCCTCCGCCCAGCCCAGAATTCCTCAGCAGCCAAGCAGCCCTTGTCCTGGCCCATCAAGAGACCGGCATCAGCCCCTCACCACCCCGCCTGCCCAGGGGTGCCAGGATGCAGGAGCCCCCGGGGGCCTACTCACCGCACAGTTTCTCTGTCTCTAAGTTGCTGTAGAAAAAAAGAGTAGGTGCCCTTTAGACCATTAGACTTGGGCCTGGAAAACGGGTTTGGAAGCCAATGATCCCCCCCTCACTGCACTCCACTAATTCCTATCTCAGCCTGACAGGGAGTTCTGCCCCCACCCTGGGTGAAGTGCTCAGTAGGCAGAGTCCTTGGCAGGGAGGAGAAAGGGTTCGGTTATCCCCATCAACTTTGCCCCCTCTGTGGACACAGTCTCAGACTCGCTCTGAACCTCCAAGGGGATGTCAAGGCAGAGGAGACAGATGTGGTCACAGGCCAGAGGAAAGAAGTCAGAGCTGGGAAAGGGAAGCCAGGCCCGGGAAGAACAGGGAAGGCATGGGTCATTTACTTGGTATGTCAAAGAGGGCTTCCTAGAGGAGGTGTTGCCTAAGCTAGGCCCCAAGGACAAGGAATTTAGGTGTCTGGTCGGTGGGAGAGGGGAACAGTGCAGTCAAGGATCTAGCCCAAGTCTCAGGAGCCTTGCCTGTTGCCCCAGAATCTGGGGTTTATCCTGAGATGGGAAAGGGAAGCAACAGCCGTGTGTTTGTGTGCACCGTGTGGGAAAGCGCGGGGAGGACTCGCGCCAGACGTAGAGTGGGAGCACATGTGGGGAGGTGTGTACGTGCTCGTGCACCTACATCCCGGGGTGGGAGCAGGCAGGCCCCAGCTGTCCCCAGGCATCCTCTGGTCCCTGCAGAAAGTGGAATGGGGGAGGGGGGCTGAGCCATGAGTGGTGACTCAGGCCTGGCTATTTTGAGGTCCCAGCTGGAAGCAGTGTAGTGGGCAGGGCTGGAGCTGGGGAGGAGGTGAGTGGGCAGGTAAAGTTGGCACTAAGCCCTGGCACCTTTTTCTCTGCCCCCTCCCCACCTATCCTCCAAAAAGAACGGAGGCAGCAGGGGACACAGTGGGGTTGGGACAACCGGGTCTTGAATGAACCCAGACTCAGCCATCCCCTCTGGTACTCACTCAGTGGAGTGCCCGTCAATGCCTCTGAACAGTTCCTGCAGCTCCCCTGGGCTGAGAACCCCGTCGGCAAAGTAATTCTGGAATTCCTCGAACGAGAGTTTACCATCATCTGGGGGTGAGTGGGGAGCAGAGTTGGTGTCCCTAGCCCAGCCCTTGACTGCACCCCTGCCACTAGGCCTAACCCCCCCAAAAGGCCTCACAGCCACCCTGCCCAGTGGGATGGGATCCTGAGCTTAGTGGGGGGCTGACTGTTAATGACAAAGGAACTAGGGACCCCAAAGTGTCCTCGGAAGCAATAGGGTCCACCTTGTAGGTACTCAAGGGACAGGGCAGTACATGTGTGACACTGGATAGGGATTCAGTAAGTGTCTGCCAAATGAGGAAACGACTGAACAGGCCGGGGCGCAGACAGAACACGACAGGGCCTGGACTTCACTTGGGAGGACGTGGTGGCCGAGTCTCTGCCCACATACTGGCTAGCCTTGCTCCAGGGTGAAGGGTCTCCCTGCTCTGGACCCAGGAGCTTCACTGAGAAGCCACGGGGAGGCAGAGAAAATCTTCCAAATAGTGAGAGCCTCTATACAAAGCAACAGACTAGCTCAGGAGAGAGTGAGCTCCCATCACAAGGGGCATATGAGCCTAGAGCACTGGAGCGGGCTGGTCCAAAGACCAGCCTGAAAGATGTGCAAAGTCTCTAAGTGGGGAGGGCAGTGGGCAAGATGGGGGAGGGTCTGAGTATCCCCAGATGGAATGCCCAGATCCAAGTGAGAGCATGTCCCTGACAAGTGATCGCCACCAAGGTGAAGACACCCAACGAGAAAGGGCAAGGGGTATGTCCTATCCCAAAGAAGAGGATACACGAGAGGGTCCAAAGACCCGGATGGAAGGAGCTCAAGGCTGAGTGGCTGCCTTAGCACAGACCCTTCACTGGCCAATCAGGAGGCCATCTAAGGGTAGCAACCTGTTGCTTACTGGCCCCCTAAGGGCTCCTGCCTTAGTTTCCCAGGGCTTCCCAGACCAGGTCTGAGACTGCCAGGACCAGGACAGGAGCTGCCTCCCTGCTCGCTGAATGCAGCTTTATCCCTGCCCAGGGTTTGGGTGGAAATGTGACCACCAAGCCCTCCCTGGGTCTAGATGGCTCCTCAAATGGAAAGTTACTGAGCCCTCAAAAACCTAAGGCTCCCACAGGGTTTCTCCATTACCCCACCCTCCCCAGGCCCTCACACAGGGAGCCTGGGGCCAAGGGTCACGAAGACCCGAGTTCAAGGTCTATGCAACTTTAGACAACCTGACTCATCTCTCTGGGCCTCTGTTCATTTGTCTGTGAAATGGGCTGAAGTCCAACCTAGCCCGTACCTGTGTGGATAACACGAGGTAATGATGAGAACTACCCCCCACTGTGCCAGGCACTGCATCCCATCCAGCCAAACTTGGCTCAGAACAGCACTTCCTCTGGGAAGGATGCCTTGATGGATTCTCCTGTTTTTGCCCCCTGCCCCCAAGTTATCTCCACTTTAGATAGGCCCCCAACTCTCCCCTGGTTCTCCATGATGTTCCCCACCCAATCCCCTGCTGCAGGACCCAGGTGAAGTCACACTCACCATTCTTGTCTGCTCTGCGGAAAACCTGGAAGACAAAGGGCATGGGTGGGAGCTGTGAGTGGGGCCTGGGAAGCCAGACGCCCTCACCCAATCCAACAGGGCCCCAGCTGGCTGGCCTGCCCCCTGCCTTGCCTTTCTTCCTGCCCAGCCAGGCCCAGAACCCCCTGCCCAGTGCAGCCCTGCAGGAGCCTTTCCAGCAAGGGGGATACAGGAAGAGCACGCAGCAGGTCCCACTGCTTGCTCACTTCTCCTGCAGGGCCTGGCCTTGCGGGGGTGAGGGGGGGGTGCTCCAGGCCAGCTCCCTGCACCCCTACCTCCTACACCGAGTCCAGCCTGAGTTCTATATGGTGCATCAGCCCTTGGCACAGTCCCAGTTTGAGGAAGCCTGGGGAGAAGGGCCAAGATGCGGCCTGAGGTTCCTGGGCAGCTGTCCCAGACCTGAACCCCCAGCTCTGCTATGTGGCCACGCTCTCTCCCAGACTGCCCTCTCCCAGCTGCTTCCTCGTGAGTGCTTGTTGAACACTGACCTGCAGACATTGGCTGCTCCTTTCTTTGCAGGCTATTTTCCCACTAGTACATGGGAGAGTAGCCTGGGGTTTAACCCTGTCAAGGCTGGGACTTCCTATGAGACTGACTCAGGCGTGAATGTGTGTGTGTGTGTGTATGTGTGTGCACACGCATGCAACGGGGAGGGAGGGCAGTGGAAGGCAAGGGTAAACAGATTTATTTATGGAAAAGCAGAGTTGAAGGGCAATATAGGCAGAGCACAGCAGTCCAGACAAGGCTCTGCCCCTCCCAGGACCAGTTCCTTCTGGTCATTGAAGCAGCCTAGCAAAGGGTGGCCCAGCAAGCCGGGCGAGGAGCAAGCCCACAGCCTGGACGAAGAGCCCCCATGAGCTCTTGGTCTTGAATGCCAGCCTCCTCAGCCTGTTTTCTCAGGGCCAGTAAGAAATGAATCTTACTGCTAGCCTGGCTCAGAGAAGGTCTGCCACTGGTTGGGGTCACACAGCAGCCCAGAGAGGCCTGGGTGAGGGAGATGGAAATGCTGAGGTGGCAGCAGGAGTGCTAACTGGGAATGACAACCACACCCTATTGTGCCCCTGTCTCCATGGGTGATGGGGGGGCATATCTCCTCGGCCCTTGATTTTCTCATTTGGGAAGCGGAGAGCAGGGAAGGAGGGTCGAGTCTCTTCTAGTCAAGAGGACTGTGGTCAAGCTGCTGAGTCACTGGGGGCAGTGGGGAGGGGGCAGAAGGGGTGCCTTTCTCCCTGGCAGGGGCCTCTGGAGAGGGGACAGGAGAAAGCCAGGATGGGGTTGAGCACAGACATAGTGTGGGGAAGGGGCTCAAGTCAGTGTCCAGGCTGGCCAGGCTGCCCTACTGCTCCTGGGGGCTGCAGGAAGGGCCACACGCTGTCCCACGGGAGGGGCACACAACCCATGGCCCTTGGGTCTGGCCTGGGGGACTAGGGACTGCACTGGGATCAGGAGTGAGGGCTCCTTGGGCTTCTAGGAACCCAGGGCTGCCATAGAGTGGGGACAGCCCCCACCCTCATCAGACACACAGATGGGATGGATTTGGCAGGAGAAGGCAGCAGGGACAGCAACACTAGAGCAGAGACAAGGAGAGACATGAAGAAACAGAGAACTGGGGAGACATGGAGACAGAGACAGCAGGGTCAGACAGAGATAGAGAAAGAGACGGAGATCCACAGAGACAAAGGGAGAGCCCAAACAAACCTGGAGGGAGAGACACTGATGTAGACAGAGGGAAAAGATGCAGAGACGGGGTTAGGAAGAGAGTGAGAGACAGAGCCCAACGAGACACAGGGAGAGACATCACAAGAGACTAAACCTGCGCCCCCTCCCATGCCCCACTCACGTCCTGGAAGAGCGCGTGTCCCGCGGGCCCGGCGTCGGGCGT